TTACAGAGGTTGATGGTGCAGTGTAATAGTTGTGTTTTCTTAATTCAGAGTAGCAATTAGTAATTTTTTAAATCTGGCAAGTGGTTCAACACTTTTTATGGATCCCCTATGGACTATCAAAGTTTTTATGCCTTAAGAGAAATTGAGATATGATACATTTGGGTATGCAATGGGTTAATAAACAGTACAAGTCACTACATTTTTTTTTTTTTTTTTTTTTTTTGACGGAGTTTTGCACTGTTGCCCAGGCTGGAGTGAAGTGGCATGAGCTCAGCACACTGCAACCTCCACCTCCTGGGTTCAAGCGATTCTCCTGCCTCGGCCTCCCAAGTAGCTGGGATTACAGGTATGCACCACCACGCCCAACTAATTTTTGTATTTTTAGTAGAGATGGGGTTTCACCATGTTGGCCAGGCTGGTCTGGAACTCCTGACCTCAGGTGATCCACCTGCCTGGCCTCCCAAAGTCACTACATATATTCTTATGTATATTTTTAATCTAACTTTGAACAAGTTAACTTACTCTCTTTAAAGTATGGGTCCTTAGTATTTAGTTTGAGATTAAACTTTCTCATAGTCTCATGGTTAGGATTAAATGATACAGTATATGTAAGCAGTAAGTACTGTACATAATGCAAAGTAGATGCTTAATAAATTGTCTTATATAAATATTGATATTATTATATTCTCATTTATTGCTATTTTATCCTGTAAGTTCTTTATGTTTTACTTTATAAGCATCAACTATATTAGACATTCAAGTAAAAAAAAAGATCTAGGTCTAACTTTGGACTCTACCCCTTACAAGTGACTTTAATGTTCCTGATTCTCAGTTTCTTCACATTAAGAAAAGAAAGGGAATGTTATGATCATTGTTATTGGGATACTTGATGTAGTGTACCAAGTCTTTCACCTAAATTCTTAGTTCACATTGTTCCAATAGACATAATTAGTTGGTTTAATTTTATTTCTTTCATTAGTAGGGCTGTACAAATAGATATTATAGAAAAAGAATTGTTCCTCATTCTAACATGCATCCATAGACAGTCCTTCCATATAATCAATCTCTATCACTTGTTCACTTTTTCAGTGATAATTATGTACCTTTGATCTCAACTTTTTTTGTTAAATTTTATTTTACAGAATTCAGTTGTGAGCTTGTGGCACTCATCTTTTTTCGTTATTCTCTTATAATTTGATGTATCTGATATTAGCAATGTGTATACATCTTTAAACAAATGTCAGTGACTCAATAATAAAAATGATTTTTATAAAATCAGAAGGGATATGGTTTCTACAGCCCCCCACATTCATTTGACCTCACAAAATATTATGTTCTTCTTCTTATTTTTTTTACATCTATTCAAATGTCATCCACTCCCCAATGATAAGGGAATGAAATTCTGTTTATTAAGCAGTTGCCTTTGAGAAGTTGGTCATAAATAGGCACAATTCGCTCTACATACTGACAGATGGCTGTTAATAAAGGTTGTTAGGGAGGGCCCCAGAGCTTTCCAGATTCTCAAAAGAATCACATTGGTGTGAACAAGTCATTTCCCACATTACAAAGTCTAACAGAAATCACTGCCTGCCCCATCTCCAAGCCCACAGGAGACATTTTCATAGGAAATACAAGGACCTTTATGAAGGTGCCCACCATCCCTTCTTGTGGCTTTTGGATATTAATTATCTTTAGCTTAAATCTTGATAAGTGCTTAGTAGGTAGGAGATGTTTTAAATATCTGTAATTTTGATTCTTGTTTTCAACAGGTTATAGGAATTTAAATAGACATAACATATGTATGTCTCTATTGCATTTTACTTATTTGGGACACATTGTTTTAGTTTAGAGGGTTTATTTGGATCATCTTGATCTGCTACTCACAGTATGTGTCTCTCCGGCTATTGCATAATCTAAAATTTGATTTTTAAACTTTGGTTCAAATTAATTGTTTAAAAAACATTATAGTAGGGTTAAGTGCTGTGGTATGCTGTTGGAGGAGTGTCTTCAGTTACAATCTATACTCTGTGCATGCAGTTTATTCATCCACCCTGCAACTCATGTGGGAGAAGGAGCATCATATATTGGCCGCTAGCTGGGAATATAAATTCCCTACTATTGAACAGTATCTCAACCTTATAAGAGGAGGTCTACCAGTTAGAACTATAAGTACTGAGTGATCAAACAACACCCACTTCTGCTTTTAGTTTTCACTTGATCCTAGTTTTATTTATACTTTGGCTACTTGATGGAGTATTGTTGTGCGTACTTAAATTTATATAGCACCTCATTCAAATGAGTAGTTCTGGATATGCACTTACTTGGTGTCCTACAATCAGGCAGACACAGTTTATGGCAGGGTTAAATAACATATGTAAATTTTTATTTTCTATAGAGAATAATGTTTACTTGACAAGAAAGATATGACTTTGTTCTATACTCAGGGTCCCTCCTTTTTGATTTTCTAATTAGAGTAGGCTACAGACTCCATGTAATATTCTGATCAACTGCAAGCACACTGGATCTTCCTGATCATGATATCCAAAGGACAGAGCTTCTTATTTCCCAACTTAGACCAGCTGGAGATCTTTATATACTACTCCAGCCCCTTCTCAAAGTGTAGAGCCTTATGATTTACTTGAAATGTGCTTCCAAGTGATAAACCAAATGGTAATATGTTGTCTCCAGAATTCACAAAGGCCTATCAAGCATTGTATCTTTTTCTTAGTGATAGTGAATACATACTAAAGCAACTTGTTTTTCACTTTAGAGGGAGTATTTCTACATGCATTAGACCCACAAACTTCTGAAGAATTCAGGACTCTACCTAACGAGTGTCAGGGGCAGTGTTGATCCTTCCAGAAAATCACTACTTCTAGAACAACAGAACTGTGTAATAGGAAACATACCTAATTAACTTCACAGTAATTCACAGCTCTTCTCCAAGTTTCTCCTATCTTCTGCACAGTTAATGTAGGGAAATTAATTAGGAAAATGATAAGAATTTCTACCCATTTCATTCATATTTCAAGACTAATGTGGCACTAAAGTTTGTGAATCCTCTAGGTAAACATATAGGTCAAAATACCTTTGGGAATGCTACATTTACAGGAATAATTCCCTAAACTACTGGGCAACCAAGGTAGCTGCTACTTCTATTGTGATTAAAAGAACCTGCATAGGCCCTGCGTGGTGGCTCACGCCTGTAATCCCAGCACTTTGGGAGGCCGAGGCAGGCAGATCACGAGGTTAGTAGATCGAGACCATCCTGGCTAACACGGTGAAACCTCGTCTCTACTAAAAATACAAAAAATTAGCCGGGTGTAGTTGCTGGCGCTTATAGTCTCAGCTACATTGGGAGGCTGAGGCAGGAGAATGGCATGAACCAGGGAGACGGAGCTTGCAGTGAGCGGTGATCGCACCACTGCACTCCAGCCTGGGCGACAGAGCGAGACTCCGTCTCAGAATAATAATAATAAATAATAATAATAATAATAAATAATAATAATAATAATAATAATCTATATAATTAGGTAACTCTGAAACAGCTGTGGGATGAGCCAGAACTCTGACACCTCAGCTGCTATCTGTAGCAACAAAATGCATGCCCTGTACTGTACCTACTTCTTTTCCTTGGTAGTGCATTTCTAAATCAAGGGCTCAAATGAGTACTTTTAATTGGCAGAACTCACATCCAAAATCCTAACTGCAGAGTAATCTGGGAAGAATTACTTCTAGTTCCCCAGCTTCTGAAATACAGAAAGATGTGAAAGAAAAAGATTATCATGTGCATTGAGTGTGTCCTCCCATGATTTGGTCCACAGTAGCCTCACGTATAATATTGTTGTCAGTCTTGGTTTCCATGTCAGCCTTTCGAAAAAATTCCACTGTATTTACAAAAGGGTAAGTGTCAATTAAAATGTAAGGAAGAATAGAGATTGTTTTAATAATATTCATGTAATTTTGAACCACATTAATGGTTATATAGTCTTTGTATGAACTTCAGTCATGTCGGGGAGAAACAGTTCATAGATATACTATGGAATAGCTCTTTATGATGAAATTCTCTTCTCAGCAATCTTCTCCAATAGGATTATATTAACTCTGGAAAAATATATTTTATTTATAGTATTTAACTTTTCAAGGTTCAGTGAACTAAATTCATGTTATATAGCCGTGAATGCTCTTGTATTGTCATCCTAAATTATAACATTTCACTTATTGAGCACTTACTAGGTGCCTGTCACTATGGTAAGCATTTTCACTATCTAACTTAATAGACGTTTCTCTTCAACTCTATAATCCAGGGATCCCCAGCCACCAGGCCGCAGACCAGTACTGGTCCATGGCCTGTTAGAAACCAGGCCACATAGCAGGAAGTGAGCAGCAGGGGAGCTAGCGTTACCTCCTGAGCTTCCCCTCCTGTCAGATCAGATGTGGCATTAGATTCTCATAGGAGTGCAAACCCTATTGTGAACTGTGCATGTGAGGGATCTAGGTTGCACACTCCTTATGAGAATCTTGTGAGTGATAATCTGACGTGGAACAGTTTCATCTCAAAACGATCCACCCTGCCCCCCTTCCATGGAAAAATTGTCTTCCACAAAACTGGTCCCTGGTACCAAAAAGGATGATAGATGACCTATCTATCATTTATCTAGCTAATCTATCTAAAAGGTAAGAGCTTAAATATCTTGATTTATCATCTCCTTTATTCATTTTGTATATAGCCTATTATCTAAACTATTATCTTTTGCTACTTCAACTAAAGCTTCCATTTTAGCACCCTGTTTCATGTTTCAAAATATTAACTGCTATAGAAAATCTTAGAGCCTATAATATTATAATTTGTGTACTTTATGATTGTGCTTGAGACTGACCCAGAATTACGTTGATACTTTTTATACTCCTCACAGCATTTAGCTCAGTAGTAAGGTCTTAGAAAATACATTTTGATTTGACTTGATGGAATACAGAAACTTACTCATTTTTATCTTTAGTTTCAGGTGCAGCGTTATGTCTCTCAGAGTCTGGTAACCCTGGGAAGCTGCCACTTGTTGAGAAAATCTATTATATCTCTGCTTCTATCAGAAGTAAATGGCTTTGCCGATGATCTGGGAGCCATCAATCAGGTACATATAACTTGAAACTGTAGCTCTCATTTATAGTTAATGTACCTATATGTTTTTCTTTTCTTTCCCCTTCTTTCCTCTCTTGCCAGGCTAATATTTTAGTTATTACCTTATGTCTAATATATGTGAGTAATATTACTGCCTACCAAAATTACAGAAAGATACTTTCAGAAAACAGTTTTGAAAATAAAACCACTTTATAATCCTTACTTGCGTATATGTGCCAAAGATGCTGTTGGTGACAGCAAAAGAGTGCTTAGATGAATGGCTTTAAATTCATCCAGGCAGGCAGCAAGTTTCTAAAGCAAAGTGAAAGAAAAGTGAACTGGGGAGGATTCTAAATGGAGAGTAGTCCTTAACCAGTATTTTTCATTCCTCATTGCTTATGAAAATCATCTGGCTAACTTTTAAATATCCTATTGCCAAGTCGTATGCCAATCCTATTACATAGGGGTCTCTGAATTTGGAATTCTGGTATTGGTATTGTTAGAGCACTTCAGGTGATTTCAATATGCAACCAAGCTCGAGGAACACTGCTCTAAGCCCTTCTATCTGTGGAAAGTCTTTTATATCACTGGTGACAAATGTGTAGAAGGAACATAAATCATTCCCATATTTTAATGTTCACACTGGTTTATTACATGTATTCCATTTGATAGCTCATTTAATATTTTTATCATTTCTGTAGTCAAAGTCACAAAGGAAATTAGAGATAGGTAGAAACGTCTTGGTAAAGAGAAATAACTTTAATAAAATATTGTATATACATATAATTTAAACAATTTTTAACAAAGTACTGACATCTAATGACATAGTCTAAAAATATTATACAATCTAATTGAATTTGATGTTTGACATGGTGTATCTAGTAAGCAAATTTTCAGTTGACTACCAAATGTAAACTCTCTTAAGAGCTCTGTTGGATTTTTTTAAAAAGTCATTTTCGGCTGGGTGCAGTGGCTCACACCTGTAATCCCAGCATTCTGGGAGGCCAAGGGGGCGGTGGATCACAAGGTCAGGAGATCGAGACCATCCTGGCTAACATGGTGAAACCCCATCTCTACTAAAAGTACAAAAATAAAAAATTAGCCGGGCGTGTTGGCGGGTGCCTGTAGTCCCAGCTACTCGGGAGGCTGAGGCAGGAGAATGGTGTGAACGTGGGAGGCGGAGGTTGCAGTGAGACAAGATCGTGCCACTGCACTCCAGCCTGGGTGACAGAGCGAGACTCCATCTCAAAACACAAAAAACTCGTTTGCACTGTTGTCGAGGAGAAAAAAAGTAAGCTATATTGATTAATTGAAAAAGAGCAAAGTGTTAAAATGTATGATGCTTTTTGTAGGTGTTCCAAGATCAAGGAACTGACCATAGTAGGTTGCAGGTCCCTGAAAATAATTTACAGAAAAGGAAGTACTTGAAAAATGCCTTTGAATTGAATAAGCAGAGGATAACTGAATGTAGAGGCATTAGGATGTTATTTAACAAGAGATGCCAAAGATTCTGGGGAAACAAGGTGAAGTCTTAGCGTTTAACAATAGGAAGCAACGTGGAAAGTGAGTTTAATTGAATTCAGTTGTTTGGAGGATATCAGTAAGTGCAGAAAAAATGATGTATATATTCTCATTTAATTTTCACAATAGCTCCATGAAGCAGTTACAATTTTCACATACTTTATAGATAAGAATACAAAACATTAGAGTGGTGAAGTAGCTTGACCAAGACTGAAGAAAGAGCATATGCTAAAGCCATAATTCAAACCCAGATGTTCTGACAGTTAAGATACTTTAAAATAATAATAAGAAAAATAGCAATAATACAACAACAGTAACTAGTGTTTGGCAGGTTTATGTTGTTGAATTCTGTTTGCTTGTATTTTGCTAAGGAGTTTTGCGTTGGCCAAAGAACAGTGTATTTAATAATTGATGCCAGGAAAACTGGATATCCATATGCAAAAGAACAAAACTATATTTCATTTTTTTATCATATACAAAAATCAAATTAAAATGGATTAAAATCTTAAATGTAAGATCTCAAGCTTTGCAACTACTAGAAGAAAACTGGGGAAGTGCTGTAGGACATTGGCCTGGACAAAGATTCTTTTGGGTAAGACCTTAAAAACACAAGGAATAAAAGCAAAAATAGACAAATGAGAATATATCAAGGCAAAACGCTTCTACACAGGAAAGGAAACAATTAGCGAAGTGAAGAGAAAACCCACAAAATGGAAGAAAATATTTGCAAACTAGCTATCTGACAAAACCAGAATATATAAAGAACTCAAACAACTCAATACCAAGAAAACAAACAATCTGAATTAAAAAGGGGCAAAATACCTGATAGATATTTCTCAAAAAAAAGACATACAAATGGCTAGCAGGCATATGAAAAAAAGAAAAAAATAAAAAATAAAAAGCTCAACAGTACTCATCATCAGGGAAATGCAAATCAAACCACCATGAGATATCATCTCACTCCAACTAGAATTAAAAAAACAAAAAGTAACAAATGTTAGTGAGGATTTGGAGAAAGGGAAATGCTCATAGACTGTTGATAGGAGTGTAAAGTAGCATAACCATTATGGAAAACTGTGGACATTCCTTGAAAAATCTAAAAATAGAACTACCGTATGATCCAAGAATCCCACTGCTGGCTATATGTCCAAAAGAAAGGAAAGAGGTATCAGACTCACATGCTCACAGTAGCCAAGATACGAAATCAACCTAAGTGTCCATCACTAAATGAATGAAGAGAATTTGGTGTATGTGTGTGTGTGTGTGTGTGTGTGTGTGTGTGTGTATATGAATATTATTAAACCATAAAAAGAATGAAATCTCATCATTTGCAGAGCATAGATGGAACTGTAGGTGATTATATTAAGTGAAATAGGCCAGGCATAGAGAAACAAATATTGTATGTTCTCACTCATATGTAATGGGAGCTAAAGACATGGATCATATAGAGGCAGAGAGTAGAATGATGGTTACCAGAGGCACGGAAGGGAAGAGAAGTTGGTTAATGAGTATGGAAATACTGTTAGATAGAAGCAATAAGTTCTAGTATTCAATAGTACAGTTAGTGAATTTTAGATATCGTTAATTATAACTAAATATAATTGTAGAAATTATAACTTGTTTTATATTTCAAAATAACTAGAAGTGAAGAATTGTAATGTTTCTAACATAAAGAAAAGATAAATGTTTGTGGTGATAGATATCCCAATAACCCTGATTTGATAATTATGCACTGTATATGTGTATGAAAATATCTCATTTACCCCCAGTATATGTACAACTCTGACATGTCAAGTAAAAATGCATAAAAATATTCATTTAAATTCTGTGCATTCTACTATGTGTAAACTGTACCGCAACTAAAATATAGTTTTTGAAACCTTAACAAATTTTTGAACCAAAAGTAAATATAATTTTTCTCATTGCTTTTATACTCAGTGTTTTAGCTCACTTTAAAGACTTTATTTCTCTGTCAATATAATGAATGCTAAGATCTTACTAAGAACTTTCTGAAGAATAGTTTTAGTTTTTAATGATATAAACTTTTCTAAGTAGTCACTAATTCAAAAAATGATTGTGTATGTATATATATGTAAATCATATTGTACTCTATGTAAGTCTGATTGAATTTCTAAGGTATTTGATGGCAGAAGATAGATCTGTTTAATAAAGATTAATGGATGGTTCAATAATAATTATTATCATAAATATTCACTGAGAAGCCTTATGTGTCAAACACTATTCCAAACATTTCATAGTCCTCCAAATATTTTGCGCATATTTTTGCTTGAAATACATAGCGATTAATTTTAATTTTATGTCATTTAATTCTCCTAACTACACTAGTAATTTGTATTATTCCCATTTTACAAAAGAGGGCAATTAGGATTAGGGAGTTTAAGTAGCTGGCCCACTATCATAGGAAGTACAGCACCAGTTTGTCGAACCCACAAAGTCTGACTCCAGAATCTAGAAGATAAAATATGGACTAATTTCTGTTACTGACTTAACCATGTCAGTTATTTGTATTTCACTAACACCATTTTATTTAATTTGTCTCATGCAACTGGTATGTGTGTTGTCTCACCTACTTTTTAGCAGGGTAAGTAAAGTAGATATTTGTGTTAAGTTTAACATGTTTTTTATGTATATTCTGTGACCATTGAATCAGATTTTTGAAAGGTGGTTTTGTTGCCTCTTATCCTAGTATCCTTTCTCTAGCTGTGTTCCTTTGAATGTCATTTTCTTGGGTCTTGTTGAAATTATTTACGCAATGCTGAGGATAAAAGTTTCCTAATGCCTTCTCAAATGTGTATTTTGGATTTCCCCCTTCATTGCCTTTTCTTTATCAATATGTGTCCAGAATTGGTGGGTTCTTGGTCTCACTGACTTCAAGAATGAAGTCGTGGACCCTCACGGTGAGTGTTACAGTTCTTAAAGATGGTGTGTCCGGAGTTTGTTCCTTCAGACGTTCAGATGTGTCTAGAGCTTCTTCCTTCTGGTGGGTTCATGGTTTTGCAGACAGGAGTGAAGCTGCAGACCTTTGCGGTGAGTGTCACAGCTCTTAAAGGCGGCGCATCTGGAGTTGTTTGTTCTTCCCGGTGGGTTCTTGGTCTCATTGGCTTCAGGAGTGAAGCTGCAGACTTTCGTGATGAGTGTTACAACTCATAAAGGCAGTGTGGACCCAACGAGTGAGCAGCAGCAAGATTTATTGCAAAGAGTGAAAGAACAAAGCTTCCACAGTGTGGAAGGGGACCCAAGCAGGTTGCCGCTGGTTGGCTCAGGCAGCCTGCTTTTATTCCCTTATCTGGCCCTGCCCACATCCTGCTGATTAGTCAATTTTACAGAGAGCTGATTGTTCTGTTTTGACAGAGTGCTGATTAATGCGTTTACAGTCCTTGAGCTAGACACAGAGTGCTAGACAGAAAGTTCTCCAAGTCCCCACCAGGTTAGCTAGATACAGAGTACCAATTGGTGTATTTACAAACCTTG